GAAAGGTTAGCTTGTTACCTTCTATAGCGCTCTGGACAACTCATGGCTGCGTTCAGACTTTGCGATGACGCGCGTCGACGTGCAAGCCGCTGACGGAAATCGATCGGCGCTAGCCATCGACCGCTTGTATTTTGGAAATTATAGAGTAGAAGGGTACCTGCACTCTCCTGTTACCTTGTCAAGCAGTCAGCGCCGATTTCCGTCTGCGGGCGCCCAATGCTATGGCAGTGTCGACGCGCGTTACAGCGCGTTAAGGCGCATTATCGCTGAGTATGAACGCTGATAATACTGACTGGCCTAACTCGTCCTCAACGTGCTATAACGTATTATAGCACATGTTCTAACACACCTGCCAATGATACGTATCGTCAGCTGGCATATCCCAACACATAAGGGATTGTTAATCGCCCAACGACGAGATCCCAATAACCGTTTCTGCTACGAACTGCGATAGCACCCCATTTAACTCCGGAGCTGAGCCGGAGGGAACGGTCCATATGTCGTTAGCGTTGGGGTCACCCCCATCCCTCCAGGGCACGTGTAGGATTCACGCCCTGAATGGATGGGCGTGAAATTGACTGTAGCAAAAAGTTTCTGCACATCTAGGCACTTACAGAAGGGGCCAAGTTCCCGACAATGACGCTGATGACACCTCCCCGCCCATAACCCCAGTAAATCCTTTTCTGAGATGAATAAATCCAAGAGAGGTCACCCGAAAAGTATACGACTCACCAATAGAGAAATGCGGCACATTTGCAGCCCATGCAACAAGAGAAAACAACTGAACGCACAGGAAGCAGGCCAGAGTGAACGTGAGAAATGACATCTGAAACGTTATTTTAAGCTTTGTGCTCAAACCATCAGACGGATTCAGCTTACTTATGATTGGAAGCGCTACAATGGGCGCTTGATTCACTGATAATTCTTCAGGTCACTTTCACAATACATTTTCAATTCGCCGCATCACGGGTTTTACAGCATCACTCCGTCATTTTTCTACTGTTAGACAGTAATTTCATCTGTCCTCCCAAGACATATATCTTCTGTGTCACAAATTTTTTTTTGCAATTTGAGGAGATAAAAATCACTATTGCAAAACCGCAAAGAGAAGTGCCTGGTCCCGCATGTATACCACGCTGCCGGGAATGTCTAAAAATGCTAGTGAGTTGGTGGGGTGTCCTAGTCCATCTACTCTTCTGAGACTTGGAGACACATTCCAGGACTATGGGATGGGCGGAGACCCAAAACTTGGTGCGCTCCTGCCTCTAGTATGGTTCAACGAAGGAGGAACACGAAGGAGGGACACTAGAAGCGAGTGTCCTTCTATTGGACTATCAATGTGTTTTTAACCTATAAGATTCCCATTCACACGAAGTTACAACCCTTAACGTGAAGTGCTCCCCTTTAATTGATAAACAGAAATTTTCAAAAGGGAACTAAGTGACCTACCGCAGAAAAGATGTAGGCGATGTTGACGACTCGACGAGACGGTTGTCCCAAACTCCACTCAGCTCCTAATTGCATACCATAGAAAATTAGAGAAAATAGGTAAAGTCTCCAACAGCATTCTATCCACGACTTGACACGAATACTAAATAAAAATTAGTCATTCATAATTTTCGCCAGTTTTTTTTTTCACCACGTGGCAGCTGCTCATGCTATGGATTTAATCAATGTACAGTTTATATCACCGCAACCTGTCGGGTTGCAATCAGCGGTTCCCACCTGCGGCCTTCCCACCAGTGGCTGATTCCTTCCTACATCGATCATTGCTCGATCACCATTGGTAGAGCAAGGCGGCCGGACGCGAGCTCGTGCCGCGCTGCGCTCGCCCGCCCCGACAAATTGCAATGTTACAAACTATAAATACATATAAGCGGCCGCGCAGGTCTTCGAAAGGCCTTGCCTTCTTTGACTCGATCATAATTGGAAAACGAGATAGGAGACGTTACGTAAAACTCGGGCCGCTATTGGAGCCACCACCCCTCTGCTTCGGGAGGTGCGCATCAAGTTCTCCCTGAACTATAC